GGGGGGAGGGAGAGAGAGGTGGAGCTCAGGTCAGCATGCCACTTCTCCCCCTGACATGCTGCCCTCCAGGTCCAGAAGCAAAGGGTTAGTCCAGGGGTGCGACAGCACAACCCACTGAGTCGTGGCTCTGCTCACCTTGATCATAGGCAAACTGCAGTAAGTCAAGGTGAGAGGGTATGAAATCTTCTGTGGCAGAAATCCGCCCTGGCTTTGTGGCAATTTCAAGGACGCACTGCTGTCTGCACTTCAAAACCTGAATATAATGGGCTGCAAGAGAGAGAGGCAAGAAAGGCAGTAGCTCACGCTTCTTCCAGACAGGAGTGCTGGGAAATGTCCAGTGTGGGGCACGTGGCCTTCCTACCCAACCCTGTGTGCCTCAGCGCTACCTGCAATGGCTTCGTACAGGCCAGGCTGCATCTCCTCCTCCTCGTCCTCATCCTCCCGAGGCCCTTCACACAGGGCACGACACTCTTCCAGTGCTGACAGCGCCTCTGTGAGTGATTCCTCCAGCCTGGCCACAGCCTGCAGGTACTCATCTGCATTGTAGTGCTGCAGCCCAGCCTCATATGCTTCCTGCAAAGGACAGATCCACGTCCCTCATCACTGTGGGTGACACCAAACCACCGCCCAGAGAGGTTTTGAGTGGCTCACAGGGTAGTGCTGACATCTAGGGGCCTTCCTGATCATGCACAGCCCACCATGCAGGGACAGCAAATCTTCTGGACTTAAATGTGCTTCTCCAAGGCCCTGCAGCCTGCCATAACTATCACCAGAAAGTCTCTGTGTCACACTTGCAACGGTTTCTCTTCACCCTGAAGAGAAGGCTTCGGGAAGACCTTCTTGCAGCCTTTCAAATATAAAGGGGGCTAATAAGAAAGACTGAGCAAGACTTTTGACCAGGGCCTGTAGTGACAGGACATGGGGCAATGGTTTTAAACTGAAAGAGGGTCGATTTTGATTGGAGATAAGGAAGACATTTGTTATGATAAGGGTGGTGAGACACTGGAGCAGGTTGCCCAGAGAAGTTTGGATGCCCCATCACTAGAAGTGTTCAGGGCCAGGTTGGATGAGGCTTTGAGCAACCTGGACTAGTGGAAGGTGTCCCTGCTGATGGCAGGGGGTTTGGAAGGAGGTGATCTTTAAGGTCCCTTCCAACCCACACCATTCCATGATTCTATGTATGAGGGCCTGGTCTCAAGCCATGGACCTCATTTGGGAACAGGTTAGTGCCCCAGACTGGTCCCTAGGATGGGGCAAGAGCTGTTGACACCCACTTCTGCATCAAACCCTCACCCAGTGTGGCGTGGCCTCCAGATCTCGGAAGTTGTCTGATTTCACCCCTGACATCCGCCGGTACTTCTCGATGTCCTCCCGCATTTGGAGGTGCTGGGGATTAGCCACGAAGAAGGTGTGAGCAGCAGACACGGCCCGATCCAGCTTCTTCAGCTGTGGAGAGAGGCAGCAGCGCCCGTCACAGTCCTGCCCACACC